TGACGAATAGCACCGACTGCGGCAGTTTCGAAATCCGTTATAATTGTTTCTGGGGAGGCATTAGGTTGAAGCTGTTTTACTTGTTGTAATATCCCGACATATGTGGCCTTCGTCTTGTCTGGTAGTAGAGCATACAAAAGCAGAAGTGAACTCTTCACCTGAATATTATGGAGTGCGTAGAGGTGGTAAAACAAATGAGGCACCGTTTTAAATGTTCCGTCTCCAAACCAATGTTTAGATGAGACCAGTAACTGGAGACCTCTTGCGGTGAAAAACAACAACTCTATCTTCCGTCGGTCCTGAATCAAACATCAAGAACGGTTCACCTTCTTTAGATATCTTATACTCCTCGGGAAATATAATTTCCACTCGGATTATAGGCAAAGCTGGTGCTGCTTGTTTCCTTATTCTGATGTTTCGGATCGTTCTTTTGATACTGTCGGTCTTCGCAATATTCTGCAGCAGATTAGCAGTTTCACAGACACATTAGGTATAATATATTGGAGTGTTTCTCAATTGATTGCACGATCACATATGACATCTTCCACCTTCAAGGCTTCTATATGTAGTTGTGAACTGCCTTCGCAGCCTCAGTGGCATCTCCAACTGTTATTAAACGAACTTGGCACTTGTGCTTCTGATACATTTCACACTTCCAAAATGTCTCGTCAAATTGTTTTTCATTGAAAAATAAGTGACCTTCCCTAAACGTTTCTCTCTTCCCTTTTCACTCGTGACGAACTGAAGGGCCATGACGGTTAATGAGGATTCGTAACTGAAGTATCGCACTCGAAGAACTTTTCGAAATTGACTTTTTTGAATTTTCTGAGGCCTTATATAAGGATGAAGCATGGTAACTGTGCTCATTAACAAATCTTTCAAATATGCCATTTCTAAATTAATGCGCTAAATAAGATTTATTCTTCTGTGAGTAGGCAATATTATGGTAATTATTCTGCCCATTAATATAATCTCTCAAATATGCTATTTCTAAATAACACTGTTCAATAATCATCATAGACATATCATCGGCGATCAGTTGTAAAATTAGTGAATTTTCCTTTCCACGAATAGCGGGTCAGTGAACTGTTGTCGGTGAACTTTACGGATACCCGTGCAAATAATTTAATAAGCAGGGTCTGTACGGAACTTGTTTTATTGTCAAACTGCAAGCTCCGGAACAACGTACGCAAAAATGCTGTAAAATGCCCGGAGTTGACTGTGGATAAAAGCCTCGCCGTTAAAAAAGCATGAATGCCGTGATTCGTAAAAGACGACAATCAGATTCGGTGTCACGCACAATGGTGAGATTGTGCGTCGGTTTCGAAATGCTGAAAGACTTCACCAAATGCCTTATTCTAGCGCGTTTTCCACGCTGCGCCGATCTATTTTCACAGTCTTCAAAGAAAACAGGTGGCTCGCCTCCGGAGCTTTTCAAAACAACTTGAACAATTTTGTGACCGCAGTGGGGAAGAGTCTGGGTACATCCTCATCAGATACCGGATAATGAAAACAGTTGCTCTAGTCACTTCTTTTCAACCGACCGAAGGCATCCGCTGTACCCGTATTTTCAACAGTGCCTTTCTAAACAGCTAAACACAGGATCCCTGGCAGTTTCTTGAAGATGCCGTACTGAGGCCTCCCGATCCGTTCGATGTCCGATCAAACAAAAGATCGAACTGTCACCTTGAAACAAACTG